CAAATACGAATTGAATAGGTCGTACGAATTAGAAAGTAGATAAGGATCAATTTGACATTTTGAGCTTTATTAAAATAAGCATTTTTTTATTATTTTGAGTCCCAAATTTGAATATAATTTAACGATTTAAATTATATTAATATTATATAGCCTCCGTTTGGGAAGTGAGTTGGCTTTTTAGTTTTTTGACTTTTTTGGCTATTTTAGCCTGGGCTAAAAAGCTTGGTTTGGGAAGGACTTTTTAGCTTTTTGACTTTTTTGATTTTTTTTGTGAGAGAAGAGTTTAATGATTATGGGTTGGATGTGATGTTTTGTTTGTTATGGCTAAAATAGCCTATTTTGTCTTTTGTGGCTATTTAGCCCCAACCCAACTTGCCAAACACCACCATAATAACTAATAATTTGGATTATGATTTTACCTAAACTCGTCTAAATTTAATTCAAAATTTTAAACTTTTACTTAAAAACATTCCAAATTTAAAAATATCTTAAGTAAGTCCTAATAAAATTCAACCTGAACTCGAATGGTTCAGATTAAACTCACCCACCGAAGCTGTAACCTTATTTTGAGTATTCCATGCACATTTTTCAATTAATTAATAACGTGTGCGGACCACAGGGGCTCGATGACTGTTAACTTTCACGTCATAAAAGGTATTCACCAACTTTGCCACTTGCGACTGACTTTCTATCAAACAGAGAAGGCTTTCCTTAATCGGACTAGGTCATATTGTTGAGTTTTCATTGTGAAAAAATGTTTTAGGCTTTTAAATTGTGAGTTTTAGAGAAGCTTTAAATTGTGGGTCATATCGTGTGATTTGATGTTTTAGGCTTCGTTTTGTATGATTTTGTTTTGAGATTGCCACATTAGTAAAGTTCTTATTAAAATTTTATTATTAGAGGTCCTAATCATTATTGTTTATTGTGAACCTATCATGAAGTCTAAGGCTAAGTTTGGCTACAAAGAAAAAAGTGCACTTATTTCATCTTTTTATTTTTTTTAAGTCACATCAATCAACATCTCATCTCTACTTTTTCTACACATAATACAAAAAAAATTCAAAAAGTACACTTATTTAGTCTTTCCAAACTAGGCCTAAATGATAATTGAAATTGTTTAATATACAAAATTTGTCAAATATTTTATTTTTGTAAAAATTTATATTAATCGAATATTAATAATTAGTTGATTAGTTTATATTTCTGTTAACGGTATATATGATTTAAAAAAATTATTCATAAAAATGTGATCTGATTAAGTGGGTATGGATATCTAATTAATTTTTTGCATAAATAAAATATTCAACAAATTCTACTTAATGAACGATTCGAATTATTGAGACGGACTCAAAATGAGCCCTAAAGGAGCCCATTTGATGTCTTTACCAAAATTTAAATTATATTTATCTCTATATAATTTTGGTTTCAAATTACTGAGATTGTTTGATGTCAATCTAAATTCATTTAAATTTAATTTGAATTTTTAAATTTTTACTCAAGTACCTACCGAATTTAAAGATATTTTATCTAAATTCTAAAAAAATTCAAACCGAATTTGGATTGCTAGTGAGAGGATTAATAGTGAGAGGATTGTTAGTGAGGAGATTAAGTAAAATTGTTTTATTTTGATGATAGTTGATAGTGTGAAAATTGTTAAATTATTACCCTATAAAAGAAATATAAAATATCAAAACAACAATAATGATTTAGAGCTCTAAATCCATCACTAGTAAGGTGAAAAAAAGAAGAAAAAAAGAGCATCACTAGTGACACCTCTAATTAGAGGTCTCAAGCTTTATTCATCAAAACAAATAAAATTATGATTTTTCGTTAACAAAAAATACAGGTTTCGTTTGGGAAGCCATGGTTTGGGCTTTTTTAGCTATTTTAGCCACAAAAAACAAAATAGGCTATTTTAGTCATAACAAACAAAACATCACATCTAATCCATAATCATTACATTCTTCTCTCACAAAAAAATTTAAAAAAGCCAAAAAGTCCTTCCCAAACCAAGCTTTAAGCTCAGGCTAAAATAGCTAAAAAAACCAAAAAGTCAAAAAGCCAACCCACTTCTCAAACGGAGGCACAAAAATATTAAAAATTAATGTTAAAAAAATGTCCAACATGTAAAAAAAAGAAAAAAGAAAAAAAGAAGCCAAATGATTAATTTTTTAATATTACCTCCACATTCTCTATCTTAATCCCAACATCAAGACTCATTCTAATTCCACGAGATTATAAATTCCCTATCTATTTCTCAAAATAAATACAACATATGGCTCCGTTTGGCAAGGGCTTTTGTGGCTATTATAGTCACAAAAGACAAAACAGACTATTTTAGCCACAACAAATAAAACATCACATCCAACTCATAATTATTACATTATTCTCTTACAAAAAGGTCAAAAAAGCCAAAACGTCCTTCCCAAATTAAGCTTATTAGCTCAAGCTAAAATAGCCAAAAAAATTAAAAAGTCAACCCACTTTCCAAACGGAAGAATAATAAATTTCACCTCCACCTCAATTTCATTTCCACTTCTATCTCCCAAACTAAACCGGACCTAAACCCCCTCTAAGTGCAACCCTATAGACTATTTTAAAAATGAGTTAAAGGTCAATTCCCAATTTTTAACTTACTTCTTACTCTTATAAAAAAAAATTTAATTTTTTTTTTAACCATTTATTCGAAACACTATTTTCTAAGTATCCCGTACACATTTTTCAATTAATTAATAACGTGTGCAGACCACAGGGGCTCGTTGACAGTTTTGGCTTCACGTCATAAAAGGTATTCACCAACTTTGCCACTTGCCTCTGACTTTCTATCAAACTGAGAAGGCCTGGTCTCTGGTCCGTATTATTGGTTTTTGTAAGTCTATCATGGAATTCAAATAATAATTCGAATGGTTTAATATACGAAATTTGTCGATTATTTTATTTATATAAAAAATTATTTCAGTTAGACTGTCCAATTGAAATCCAATTCCAACTGAGAAATATATAATGGGCGTAATATAGGAAAATTTTATCTTAAAATTGTGTATTATATATATTTTTAATTATAATTTTTTTGATTTTTAATTATAATTTATTATGGTATTAGTTATGACTTAGCGTCTTAAAATTGTGTACTATATATATTTTTAATTATAATTTTTTTGATTTTTAATTATGATTTATTATGATATTAGTTATGACTTGACGTGAATTATGAAATTATTTTAATTATGATTCAAGAATTTTTTGATTATATTTTATGTGATGTTTAATTAATTTTTTTTTATTGAGTTATAACATTTGTGAAAATCAAACTCATAACTTGCATATATATAACCATAATATTATCAGTAAATATATAATTGTTCTTTACAAACACCAAATATTATCATCAGTCATCAAATACTATGATGCCTTTTACTATTCTTTCATGACTCAATGCAAAATTTCAAAAATGTAAGAGATTAAATGCATAAAATAATATAAATTGTGTATTATAATTTTTGTGAACCAACTGTTTGGGGCAACTAATAAAAGCAAGCGTTATATCAGTCTTAATGTCCAACAATAATAACAAAAAAACCTAATGTTCCATTGAAGTGGGATGAATTATATAAATTCTTTACAACTCCAAACCGTAGGAAAAAATAAGTCATATATTCTTGAGATAAAATTTACATCCAAAGCATTTTACACGTGGGGGGTCTATGTCCCACATAGAAAAGTGTACAGTGATGGTTGAGTTTGAATCAAAGTGCACAGTACAATTTCCTCCTACGTCAATGGAAGTTGTTTGAGTTGGTAAATATTGGATTCTTTACTTTCAAAGGTTAGGTTCGATTTTCATGGTCAGTAGTTCTACGTAGGCCATCTTTAACGTGCATTAAATTGTGTATCAAATTTAAAATTTGATGAAGAAGTCATTTTTTTTCACTCTAATGGTTTTATCAAATTGATATCAAATTGAGAATTAAGTAAAAATTTCACTAAACTGAAAATGCGTTGGATCTTTCACCAAAATACTATTCATTACCGTTGTATTTTCACTATCGAATGACCCACTTGATGACCAATTGTGCGCAAAATTTTATAAAGATTTTACACTGGGAGGTCGACCCCCTGAATGACCCTCAAGCTTGAAAATTCAATTACAGATTTATATAGATTTTGCTCTTTCTGGTCGACCAGTTGGTTGTTCCCCAGACGTCCGGTACGTTTTGATGAAAGCTACAGTATACCATTGGAGTAATTGATATCATATTGAGCCAAATGCCTTTTTTTTTTTATTCAAATTTGGTGAAAATTTTGTTCAACCGTTGGAGATGCTCTTAGAGCTCGTGTAGAATATGGGTTGATTTTTTGGATATTTTAGTCTGGAGTTAAAAAGACTTGTTTGGAATATAAACTTTTTGATTTTTTTAATTTTTGTGAGGGAAAAAATGAAATGATTATGAATTGAATGTAATATTTTGTCGTATTTAACTAAAATAATTCATTTTGTTTTATGACTATTTTAGCCTCAATGGGGCATCCCAAATAAGCTCTTAGCAAGTAATTTACAAATCTAATGTAAACCGTTGCCAATAGTTCTACTTAGGACTTGTTTGGAAAAAAAAAAAATTTAATAATTTTTTGCTTAAAATATAATGTTAAAAAAATAATATATTTGAAATGACTTTTTAATTTTTTTACGAAAAAATATGTAAAAAATAAAAAAAGAATAATTTTTTTAATTTTTTGATATAAATTATTGATATTTTAATTTTTTTTAATAATTTTTTGACTTATAAATTAAAAAATAATATTGTCAAACGAAACTTTGCAATCTATAATTCTAATATAAACCTTCCCCCACCTAAACTTTTCGTAACGAGAGAGAGAGAAAAAAAAAAATAATAATAATAATTTCCTCTTCCAAATTGAAAAATAAATTTTAAACATATTTTAATTTAAAAACCATCTTAAAGTGAAACCTACCTTAAATTTGGAACACATCCATTTGATAGCTCAAATAAGGAGATAATTTTTTATTTCATTCAATAATCCACTTCATAACAATAAAATTTCCTGAAGACAAAATCTTTCGTACCAAAACATAACAATAATTATTCATTAATCTCAAGAAACTACTTTCTTTATCGTCATTATCATCAACCATACTTTAGAAGTCCTTAAAAAGCTTGCGAATCTGTTCAAGGGTCACGAACAGCACCACAGTGAAAGGTCCTTGTCTCGAAATTGTAGGCACAAAACCTTTATAAAGGGCCATGGGACCCTCTGCCCTCACCGTCTTAAGGGCACAGTCGAAGGCCCCACTATAAGGTGGAGCCATTCCGGGCTCCACTTTCATATTCATCACCCTGGTCTTTATCACATCAATGGGGTTCGAGGCCACTGAAGCCACGAACCCTGCTGTGAAACTCGCCGTCACGTGGGTCCCGAGTCCATCCTTCATCCAACCCTTCTCTAAGATCGTCTCCTTGACCTGATCGTACGATGCAAGCTGCGATGCAGTCACGATCATCGCGCGGTTCACCGTAAGAGATGATCCGCGCCACAGGCTAGTAACACCCTCCTGCTTCGACATCTGAGTTATTGCGTCGACCACGCTCTTGTAGTTGCGCCGCTGCGAAGCCGGGAGCCGACCGTCGGCTTGCATCCTAACCATTGCCACGTCAGCTGGGTTCCCAACAGCCGCGCCGATCCCGCCAGCTATCAAGCCAGCGGCTATCTTGCGCTCGAGCGGTAAAGTACCCGAATTCGGGTCGGACCATTTTTGCTTGAAAACCTCGTAGAGACCCATTCGGGTGGTCGAGTAGAGAGTCTGGCGGAGCACGGTGGCGGAGACGCCGGAGAACAAGGCGGCGGCGCCTTCCGTCTGGAAAATCTTGATTCCGACGGCGATGGGACCCGCCTTCGGCGGCGGTGGCGGAATATGAACGGCGGCGCTGGGGGCACCGTTGAAAGCAAAAGCGGGGCGAAGAGAGTGAATGGTTTGATGGGTCGGGTTGGGAACATGGTTCTCGCCTTGTAACTGCATTCGGACCTTGATCAGATCAAGTGGGTGGGTCGAACAACCCGCAACAATTGAAGCAATGCCTCCCTCAACGAATCCTTTCAAACCCATTTCTAAATTTGATGAATCGGCAAAAAAAAAATTGATCGATTTGTTAGGATTAGAATGAAAAAATAATGGGTTATGTGAGCAAAAATCGAGAGATTTTTTGTTTGTGTTGTTAAGACCAGTTTGGGTTCATATCACTGGAAACCAAAAGATGAGAATGGAGATCGAAGGCTATTGAAGAAGAGTGAGGAACGATGGGTCTGTGAGACATATGCTTGTGAGAGAAAAGGAATCTGAAAGAAAGAAGAGATGGGTGTTGTGGTTTGAGTGTTTGGGAGGAGAGAATTTATAGGGGGTGGTGGTGGAAACAGAGGAAAGTGGAAGGAAAAAGGAATACGCGGAAATGGGTTGGCGATGGGACCCGAGACGGAAGAGCCCTAATTCGAGTGGACCGATTCTATTAATACACACTGCGTATTGAGAAGGTTTCTTTCGCTTGGCTTTGACGCCAATTTTGTGTTTTTCCGTGGGTCGGGTTGGATGGGTGTGTGAATGGGGCCGGGTCCAATTGTCGTATTTTTGAATTTATTTATAAGGAGTCTTTTGGAAGTACGTAAAAAGTAACCTTCTAGTATTTTGGGTCATATTACGTTTTATATAACTTATTTTGGGTCATATTAGGTGTTATATAACTTATTCATAAAAAGATAAAATAAATTAAAATAAATTAAAAAGTTAATTTTTTATCAACTTTTTAAAATATTCCTAAGTAATTCTACTTATACCATTATCCTATCTCTTTACACTCTCAATCTCATCACACTACTAAAAAAAAAATATAGTTCTTATTATACCTATTATATTACCAAAACTAACTTTAAAGTAGATTTTTCAAAATCCTGTCATCTCTTTACACTGAGGGTGTGTTTGTTTGGACGGACTAGATAAGGAGGGATTGTAATCCATCGGACTATTAGTCCTGACATACATTGTTCCCGAACTATTTGGTTGGACTGGATTTGTATCTTATGTTTGTTTAGTCATGTGATTAGATGCTTGGATTGAACTATTTTTAGTAAATCCAATGTTTGTTTGAGATATTATGGAAAAGGATAAATGTTCAAATGACTATTTTATCCTTTTCAATTATTTACTAAGTAATAGCAATATAAAACATAGCTTTAATATTTTAATTATTTTTAGCTGCATTAAATAAAAATTTAATTTATTTTATTTTTTGCACAATTAAATAAATTTATTTTAAATAATAATAATAACTAAATAATGAAATAAAATAAAACATCTATTAAAATTTAAATAATGAAATTAAATAAAATATAAACAAAATTTTAAAATAAAACATCAATAAAATATCTATAAAAAAATATTTTAAAAAATTAAATAAATAAAACAAAAATAAAAATAAAATAAAATAATTTTATTTTTAAATTGAGACATTTAAATTTTTTTGAATTTTACTAAATATAATACATAATTAAATACTAGAGGGCAAAAATGTAATTTCATTGTCTAATCCCATGGAATAAATCCCATGGTTTCTATCCCCCCCATGGGATAGGATAATCCCACAAATATGGGACCAATAGTCCAGAGCAAAACTTTTGAAACAAATAATGGACTATTAGTCCGATGAGAGTCCAAACCCACATCCTAATCCTTCAAAACAAATGCACCCTAAGAGTGCATTTGTTTAGACGGACTGAATACGGAGGGATTGTAATCCATCGGATTATTAGTCCTGGGATACATTGTCACGGGGCTATTTGGTTGAACTAAAATTTGTATCCTATGTTTGTTTAGTTATGAGATTAGATGTCTGGATTGGACTATTTTTAGTTATCCAATATTTGTTTGGGATATTATGGAGACGGATAAATGTTCAAATGACTATTTTATCCTTTTCAATTATTTACTAAGTAATAGCAATATTAAACATAGCTTTAATATTTTAATTATTTTTAGCTAGATTAAATAAAAATTTATTTTATTTTATTTTTTGCACAATATTTTAATTTATTATTTTCAATTAAATTAAATTTATAATTTATAATTTATATTTTTTATTTAATATATAATTTTAGTCCGATGAGACTAATAGTCCAATCCCACATCCTAACCCTTCAAAACAAATACACCCTAATAGTTTTTGAAGAGAATAAGAGAACAGAGAAAGACACAGGGAAAACAATGAGTGGAGCCCATAGCAAAGTGTCTGTTCGGTCACACCGTGATAAACAATTTACATTCCTTCAGTGTTATGTTACCAAAAAAAATATATATTTCTCTAGTATTTTGTTGCTATACATTTACAAGCTACTTTCTTCCAAACAATGATTTTTAAATTTGTATCGGGCATGTTTGGTAATACAATGTTAATAAATTTGAATTAATTTAGTACCATGTTACCAGACAAATTAAATTTTCCCAACAATATGTTGCCGTTCAATTAGATGATAATAAAAAATTAATTTGGGGCCACTTGTGAAGTGTTTGTTTGGTGATACATTACTATACAAATTAGATTATTCTAGTGTCATGTTGCCAAACTATAATAGATTTGTCTAGCCACCTATCGTTGTATGTTGAAAGAACATTCATAAATCAAACACGTATTCATAAAATCATACATAAAAACGTATCCATAAAAATATTCATAAAAACATCAAGTGTACAAACATCCATAAAAACATTCATAAAATCTATAATTATTTGCATCCATCAATCAAACATGTTATTACAATTTGTCTATATCGATAGTTTCGGTAGTTAGAACATCAGAGCTGACAAGAGTACGAAATTGATGAATATGGTTAGTATATGCTTTCTCCTATTCATTAGCACACGGATGATGAAAACAAATCCAATTATTTGCCATCTGATGTCTTCATGACAATGACAAATTCAGTCTTCCTCTTAACGTCAAAAGCCCATTTAATTAATGCTTGACTACTACTAAAACTAAAATAATAAATACATTTATACATCAAATTATTAATAAAACTCAATACAAATTAAAAATAAGAAAAAATCGTATTCATAAAAAAAACTTAACTTGTTTGTAATGAATTCATGACTGGAGTCTATTAATAATGCAGTACTTGCATTGTTGCAATGAGTAGAAGCATAATCCTTCCAAGCAAAAAAATATAAAATCTAAAAAAATGAAACTAGAAACATACGGTAATGAGTAGTTGGATAAATTAAAACATTCGGTCTTGGGTTAGTGGAAATGTATCTTTTATTCGGCAGTTGGTTACCAAATATATATTTTTTGTTCGGCAATGTAATGCCGAATTATTTTATTTTGTTCAATTTCAAAACACCGAACAAAAGTTGAAGAACAGTCTAGAAAAATGAAACAAAAACCTACCAAACAAATAAAAAAAAACTCATGATTTCACTTTTTTGATAGTTATTTGTCACGACCCAAACCCGCGTGATTGAGGTTCTCGCTTGAGCGCAACTCTAGTTGCTCGAGCGGTTTGCAAAATGTGTCAACTTCTAGAAGCATGCATTTTACGCTTGAGCCAACTTTTGGTTACTCGAGTGGGAGTGCCAAAAACACAGAGTGGTCGCTCGAGCGCAGGTTCTGTCGCTCGAGCGGATAGTAGAATTCTAAAATTTCCAAATTACTCTTCCAAGCTCAAAACTCAAATTCGATGCTGCAAATCATGCTCCATTGGGCTAAAAACTCAAGGAAACTTGTGTAAACTTGGAAAACATCATGAATTCAAAACCATTTCGCAAAATCAAGGCCCAAGAGTAAGTCAATTGTGTAAATTCAAGCTTAAAGTTTAATAAAAATAATATGTATGCATTGATATGAATTCTAACCTTCAAAAACATGATCAATTAAGTTCAATAGATAGGAAATGTGATGAATTCTTAAAACCAAGCTAGAATTATTACATGTATCAGGGAATTCTCTTAAAAAGACATTAAAACTCTATGAAATGCACATACATGCATGGTATGATTCAAGCTCCTCCATTTCTAGCTCAATTCTCAAGTTGATCCACTATTAAACACTTAGACCTCTCGAATTTCAAAGCTATCAAGCTCACCATCAAGAATCTAAGATTGAATTTTTACCTATAAGCTTAAATTCTTCAAGTAGGAGTTTAATTCCTTTGATCTCCCTTCAATTTCTTCCAAAGCCAAGCTTGAATGCAATTTCTTCCTACTCTCCCTCTTTCCTATGTTGATGCTCAAGGGTGACGAAAATGAGGATGTAAAATGTATCCCAGTGGTCATATATGCCTTATATAGGCTTAATTAAGGAATTCACTAATTAGGCTTAATTGAACATTAATCATTGTAAGTTAATTGTTCCGAATCGAATTGTGATTAAACTTACCATAAAATTTTAAAAATTCCAAATAACTCATAAATCAAGTCGATTTCGTGTTCAGATGCCGATAAGACCGTCAATTCATAGAACTAAACGGAAACACGAACAGATATTTTCACGATAAACAGATAGGAACTCAATTAACGTAACATACATGCTTAATGTAGAATTTCTTTTTAATTACTTATTAGGCATCATTAATCATTGTTTAATAGTAAATCATAGGCCGAGGTTGTTACACTATTCATCATCATTTCTTCATCCATTGCTTTCTTTCATGATTAAAACACTATGATTCTCACTTTTTGAAAAGAGATATGGAAGAGAGAAGAAAAATTGAGAAATGAAGAAGAGGAGTAGAGATTGAAGACTAAGGGGTGTAAGGAAATAATAAAATATATTTAATTTTAATATTTTGTCCTTAAAGGTAATTTCACGCATGGATAAAACTGGAAAAACAAAATTCTCATATAAAGGGCGTAAAGAGATAGAGTAGTAGTGTAAGTAGAATCACTCTTTATCTAGTTATATTTTTTTTGGGTTAATTACATTTTATTCCATTGTAGTTTAGCTAAAAAAATACATTACCTCCTTATGATTTAGAAACATATACATAACCCCCTTATAATATGAAGTAAAGCGTAAAGTCTAACTCTGTTAATAGTTACTCAAAAAATTAGGATAAATTACACTGACACCCCTTGAGGTTTTTGTTTAATGTAGATCTCCCCATGTTTGACAAATTACATTTTCCTCCATGAGGTTTGTAATATCATTATAAATTATCCCATGAATTGCTGATGCCATGCCTTAAAATTTTCTAAATGACAATTTTGCCAATTTTTTTTATCATTTCTTCTTCCTATCATCATGACTACATTTTATAACTTTTCATTATTAAATTCGACCTGAACATATTCTTATTAAGTGATGGTATATATAAACATAAATTTTAT